TACGAAAGGCTGGTGGTTCTCTAGGTACGTTGGAATTGGTTGAGTAAGGTCACTATGGCTTGTAAAGTCACATGATACACGCAATTAACGCAGTGCATGTGACAGTCTTGTTGCAGGGAAGTTTATAATACACAATGTATTATACGCGCATTTGTTCCGCGATTTGTTAACAAGCGGGGAACGGCGAACAACAGCAGCTACGAACATATTCTTTGTAATGCTAACTTATACTGGCTAATACTGCATAAATGATTCTAAATGTTGGTTAGCGTACCTTGATGGCTAATAGCACTAACTCTTCGTGTTACTATGGTATGTTAATATAGGCTACAATATAGGCTATCCGTAGTTATCATTGCAACAGTCTTCACTCAGTCTCAATCAAGTAATCCTCCCCTCTCTGAAACTCCCTTCTCTCAGCACTGCTAAAATGTGAAGGATGAGAGACTGCTTACGCGAATCTATTTATAAAATAGTAAAGAAACGCTCTGATTACCACTCAGTTGAACTGTTCACGTTCTGTACAAACACAGATCGTTAAAAACAGGTCCGTACAGAGGAGACCAATAAGACAAGTGCACAAAACTGGCAGCAAGACCAAACCACCATTTCTGTGCTCTACGGTGCGAATCACTTCCGCGCTTTTGCAGCAAACGGTGGTTATCGTTCAATCCTTCGGCCACAAGCTGGTTTTCCGAACACCGCGCTTCGTCAAAATTTTATGCCCTTTCATTTCCGGGACAAATTTGAGTTTCCGGAGTCGCCCATCCACACTCACGTTATGTCCCACTTTGTCCGTCATGGTAGCCCCCCCTCTCCCCCCCCCCCCACTTTGGCGCGGCGCGTATCTGCTTGCGTTATCATTTTTTAGTCGTCCTAAATGGGTTATGCCTGCCAAGTCACACGTCCGGCTTTCCTCGTTCCTACAATTATTCCTAATTGCGTCTTCTTTCTGTTTATGTCGGAAGCAAAGTTGGCATAATGAAAATACTTGTTTATTAAGCCATTTACAATTGTTCGCGAATCTATTTTTGGGAAATATGACGTGGTTCATCGAAGCGTAGACTTCAGCGGAAAAAATAAAGATGTCAAGGAATAGAGCTTTAAGAGCAGTATAGGCGTCTTGTAGCCAAAATCTGGGCAGGCGCGAGCTCGTGTATTGTGCTGCTGTTGAGACTGACGTAGATTTCTCTAAAACTAACTAGAGGGAACTCTGGCGCTGTGATCATCCAGCGAGCACAGATATGATGGGTATTACACTTGTTTGTATAGTCTTCATGCTTGCGGGCTTCGAACGCGTTTGTGCCTACGTTTATCGATGTGTTTTTGCTTTGTTTCGAATGAAAGAACGGACAGCTGCAAACTTAGTGAGGCCATTTGAAATGGTAAACTTAAAAGGGAAAAGTACTGAAGTGCAACTGCTGAAAATTTGCTGATTCTCGTTTCATGACAACGCAACTTCAAGCCATGCGAAGCCAATCGGAGCCAACTAGAGCCGAAAGCATAAAAATTAGACAAATTCGTGTGCTACCCATCATTCCCATGGTCGCTGAAGCGCTGTGCGTTGCAGCGCCAGAGTTCCTTCTGGCGTTAAAGTTCCCTCCAGTGTATCCCTCCAAAGTAACTCTATAGACATTTTTGCTTGATTGCTTGTGCACCTCGTCGTCGTCTTTTATTCACTACCGAAGGATTTTTGTTTGTTTGGAATATGCAACCACATAAATTAAGGAGCAGGTGCACGTCGCTGAAGAACAATAATAAAAAACGTATCTTTACCGATGGATATTCTGTGGAGCAAGACTTCACTCTTCGAGCAGCTACACAAGCGAATATGCTTCAGCGACCGTGTATCTTTTGAATGCGAAGCGTCCCGCCACCATGGTCCAGTGGCTAAGGTACTCGGCTGCTGTCCCGCAGGTAACGGGATCGAATCCCGGCTGCGGCGGCTGCATTTCCGATGGAAGCCGAAACGCTGTAGGCCTGTGTGCTCAGATTTGGGTGCACGTTAAAGAACCCCAGGTGGTCAAAATATCCGGAGCCCTCCACTACGGTGTCTCTCATAATTATATGGTGGTTTTGAGACGTTAAACACCACATATCATTCAAATCCCACATGTCAATGATTGAATGAATGAATGAATGAATGAATGAATGAATCAATCAATCAATCAATCAATCAATCAATGCGAAGCCTTTCTTTTGCGTACTACAAGCAATATTCTAGTCTATCTGCGTACACATTTGTCTATAGCCGAACACGTCTGGGTGCTTTCGTAGTCACCTCCTTTACTTGGCGTGAACCAAAGTGAATATGGGAGGGTAAGATTGTTTGACAAATATGACGCGCTGGTCATGACACGAATAATGTTAGAGTCCCGTCGCGTACGTCGTCAAACACTTACCGCAAAACAGTGCCACGTATCCGAGGGTGGGTATGTGCCACTGGTTTGCGGGTATGTGCCCCAGGTGATTGAGACTTATTATTTACCCAGGAACGACGAGAACACACATGGGCAATTTTAACACGTAAGCGTAAAGACAAACCTGACATCGACAGCGTTGACCCGACGAATGCAAATAATAAATGTCAAGGTGCCAGCAGGTATCGAACCCAAACATTTTGTGGGTCAATCAAGCATTCTCCTACAGAGCCCCGCCAGGTCTCGGAACTACTTTTCAAATAAACACTAATGTTCGTGAAACGTCGTTTGCGATTGCAGTGTTAAGGCTATCCCGTTTTATAAACATGCATTTATTAACATTCCATTCTTTCAACTTGTAGGCAGCCACCAGACAAAGTCTTATTAACCTGCTCGCTGTTCCCTCGTTACCCTTTCTCCAGCCTTCTCTGTTTTTTCTCATTTCAACATAATCGGTCATTTTATTTCTTAAGGGCAATTACATCCAACGCCTCTTTTTTCAACAAAATCATATAAGTTTTATATGAATACGCCAGAAACACCGAAAAAAAGGGGGGGGGGACAAGCATGGTTTAAAATTTCTAAAACGTTTTCTTTGTATTTTTTGTAATATACAGAAGAATTATTCATATTTATTCAACTTGATGTTTTAAGTGAACTCTAATGGAATGCTCGATAATCATTGAAGTAGAAGATATTACCTCTCACGACACTGATATTTGGATGCGGCAGCTTGATGCACGAACTTGAAATATGTACCTATTTTCGAAACATATTTTAGTTGGGTAACATATGCACGCCCAATTACCGGATAAACAAAACAGTCTACAGTTTACTCTGAGTTCGTCGTGACGCTGTAGCATAAAAGATATAGAACGGTAAGTGAATGCTCTTCTTCGCTCGATGCTCTGCGAGCTCTTCTTTCAAGCCCTAAATGACACGACGCTGAGAAAGTATGCGAGGTAAAGCTAACTCAGCGGAATCGCTTGTTCCTTTATTCTTTCTTTTCTTTTTTTGCTGAACACTGCGGCAGTATACTATGGCAGTAGATGATCTTCCCTTCCATCGCTGAAGGGAGGCTTATCTTCTATTGGAGCTTATGTTGTAAGGTAGCCTAATAACCTCCTGAATTATTTCAAAACTGGCCAACGTTTCCGAGAGGGCTGCAGATGGGTGAATCGATAAATGAACTGTCCGTTCGTCCTGATAGATTTCGCTAGAAGCGAGAGTAGATGAGCTCTACGAGAAAAGAGCCTGCCTTTACGACCTGCTGGATTGAAATAAGGCACCAGGAGAGATTTGTCTGTAGTTGCTTCTTTTTTTATTCATGGCCTGTTTGCGAGATTTGATAGCCTCTGGAAAGCACTGTATGCAAATATTTCAGCGGTAATTCACATTGCGCTTGTTTTTTTAACTATGCCATGGGTTATTAAAAGAGATTCACTTTTGTCGAAGTGCCGTGGTGATGCTGATTTCTTCCTACCAATGGGTCTGAATAATGTGGATTAAGTTGATGCGAGCAACGCAATACTTCTTGTTTACCATCATGTTTGTTTTGGCTTGTTGGTGTGCCGTTTTATGTATGTATTTTGGAGTAATTGTGAGTGACAATACTCTCTTAAACTATTTCCCACTTGACTGGAATTACTTTGTAGAATATTTGCCTACAATTCGTCCAAGTGACTCATAATGCGGGATTTCAATACGAAGTACCATACACTTCGCCATTTTCATTGCGTTTATGAATTGAGTTTTTAGTACATCCTATGATATACTATTTATCAGTACTTAAGCCACCTGAAAGTAGTTCTGACTTAAGTTACGTTAAGATAATGAATACGTTTTATACATGTGAATTTTGACGACCATGAGCGAATTTAACAGGTCATTGCGTTCGCACAACGTTTCAAGTTGGTCTGAAAAGCTATGAACTAGAATACGCTCCTAATAAGTATCATCAGTGAAATTCTTCATGGTCTGTGCTGCGTTTTTCTTGTGCGTTATATATTGTTTGCATAATCATGATCTCATTTGTTTAATTTCTGCTGGCATCTGAAGTGCTACCAAGGGCTTCAGTCTACCATAAATCTAAGTTTTTTTTTTAAATACAAGGTGGAATGTTTTGGCTTATATTCGCTCAATTAGGAAATGCTTAGGCAAGTTTTGGGGCTCACTGAGACCGCTTCAAACAGAGGGATCATATTGTGCTCGAGGACATTGACGGATGTTGCAGCCGCAGTTGTAACACTTGTTTACACACATCCATCACGGCACGCACTTCTTGTCTCGGAGCGACCCAAACATCTTCGCAGCACCTGCAATGAGGCATCGCATTCAAACTCCCTTCCGCGATTATCATCTTCCTGCTCGTCCACATGAACCTTTAGGCGGGTATTCGTTGCTATGATTGATAGATACCCTCTGGGAATGATGGTGTTCTCCTCCCATCATCCTGGTGTTATTTTCTGATGCTATAAGGATAACTAGGACGCTGAGCAGCGCTTGCAATAGCAGAACTGGTCCCCTGTGTGAGGCAATCCCGTTCGTCTCGCTGACCTCTGCCCGTCTCTTGTCTTGCAGCCGGGAGCGTGGCGAAGCGGCCCTGGAAGAACAGCACCTCGTGTGACCCGGACACACACTTCGTGTGTCGGAGCGACCCAAAGATCTGCATAGCGCTCTCCAGGGTCCGCGACGGCTCGGCAGACTGCCCCGACGCGTCCGACGAAGGTGAGCCGCCATGTTACACTCATCGTCGTATACTCCCAGCAGAGTTTCCTGTACAGGAAGTTTACGTCACGGTAATGAGATCTTCTAGGATAAAAATGCTCTGACAGCGAGACACGTGTAGTCATAGCACAGAAAGACTACGTCTAGGCTTCTTCTCTGCTAAAGTTACGTTGAAGTAACTAATTAACAAAAGTTTTTAGTTATTCTTGCTGACCACCTGATTTTGCCTCGTGTAATAAATGATGAATTGAATGTATAAATAATCAGGTTAGTAAAAAAAGAAACAAGCAACTAACTAACTAACTAACTAAATATATAAATAAATAAAGAAAGAAATGAAGCTTTTTGCCTATGGTTGCTCTTAACCAGACGACTCTTGACGTCACTTCAGTTGTTTATATAGCAGGCTCTCAGGAAACCGAAATCTATTAAACGGAACTCCTGCCTAAATCAAACAACTGCCTCGAGTATGACCGGCATTGTACTTGAAAATCTCCGCCACGGTTAATCTGTTGCCAAAGAGAATTCCTACTAAACCAGATATGTTCCACTGGTCCCTTAAAGTTCCATCTAAAGTTAGTCTATCTTATATGGCGCGCACCTGGGGCGTCGCAATTCACGGAAAACCCGCTGTTTAAAAAACAGCGAGAATCGCGCGTCGTTTCAGAAGCCGAACATGATTGATCTGTTACGTAAAACCGAAACTACCTGAGGCAAGAAAGTTATGACATTTTAACGAAGATGGGCCGCGGAGTCGTTGAAAACAAGACACTGCCATGAGGATGTTCGGCCGCGAACGCGCGGCGTGGACAACGTAAACGTGTTCTGGGCGCCCAAGAGGAACTTTAGGAATTCCTGGACATTTCTGGCAAAGCGCCGCGTTTGAGTGCATTTCTTTTAGCTCTAGATGTGAACCTTTGTCCGACGGGTACAAGAAAAATCGCGCGAAATATTTTTGTTCTGGTTCTCCGATTAAATTGAGTTTGACGGAAGCAGTATAAGAAAAATAAAAAGGACCATGTTTCATCACCGTTAAAGGTGTTCCCTACACGTCTCTCCTTAACCGATTAAGACCCACGCAGAAGCTACTGGTTGGATCTAATTGAGGTTTCACACATTTAAGTAACTGCAATAAAAAACAAAACATGGAAATTTTCGTAGAACTCCGTTAGTTCTTGCAGAAGTTATGATACTGTACATTAGAAAGTGCGCTGGACCCTTGAGGTAGCAATAAGAAAGATGGTGTGATGCAAGAATGGAGACTACGCTAGGCCCTTCCCAAACGAGTGCCAAAGTTATCTTGGCCCATAGACTTTCTCACAAAAATACCTAAAGAGAAGTGCGGCGCCACCATGTATACGAATTTCTTTAGAAGCCCCGTTGGAGCTATAGGAATCATAGAGTTTCTTAGAACAACTAGAGGACACTCTGGCGCTACGATCGCTCAGCTACCATGAGAATGATGGGTAGTACACGGATTTGCCTATAGTCTCAATACTTGCGGGTGGCGAATCGCACTTGTGGCTTCGTTTATTGCTGTGTTTCGATTTCGTTTTGAAGGGAACCATGAACCCTTTTGAACTTCGTGACCCGATTTGAAAAGGTAAGCCTAAAACATTAAGGTGGCAAAGCGTAACCGCTTAAAATTTGGTGATTTTTGTTTCGTGAGCAAACAGCTCCAAGCCACAAGAACACACACGGAGCCAGAAGTACGAAGTTTAGACAAATCCACGTATTATATATCCATAATTCCCATGTTCGCTGAAGCGCCGTGCGTTGCAGCTCCCATAGACACTAGCGCTAGAATTCTTTTAGTGCATATGTAGGAAACTCTATGCAGGAAATGACGATGGGTGTGTTCCAATACTCACCGAAGACGGCTAAATAAACAGCTAAATAGACAGCGGCCATCTTAAGTCCCATTCTAATATTCTCGTAGCCAGGAAAATTGACAGCTCCGAGAAGACTGCATCGTAGACAAATACGATGCAGGCTACTTTGCTGTCCAAACAAGATGGCGGCTCAGCAAACTGCTTGAAAAGCTCAGATATTGCCCGTGTTGTCGTCTTAACTCAAGCATACATTTCTCCAGGCGCTCACTGCGAGTAACTTTAATTTTTTCGATTTGAGCACAAAGTAAGCTAAAAAATGACAGTTACGTTTGTTCGTCTTAGCTTTCTCTTCTCGACGCTAAGTGGCGCCTCGTCACGTAGAAGCCGTCCAGACATTTTCCATTTCTCAGACAACATGGACTCGATGCTGTCATCTAAGCTGTCAGCGTAGACTGCGATGCTGCCTTGGAATTGGAAGACAGCCCATTTCAGTGTGTTGCGGCAGACCTCAATTCTTTTGCAAGCTTCTTGTGAAAATGAACTCCCGTATGCTTGGAGGGTCTGAGCAAGCACTGCGGGTGCTGGCGATCTATTGCTTCTTCTTCTGGGTACAACAAGGCTCAGTCACTGACTTGCTGTTATGTGACTAAAAGACGATACTTGGCGCGTATAAGATCTGCTGAAACCTCCAGTGCAGTAGCAGACCCTTTGGGCGTTGTCTGCGGCCATCTCGATCGTATGAGTAAATAGGAGGTCGTATCACTATCTCTCAGGGCTGTAGATTATGCAATTATTCGCAGATTCATCGTAGAACTCAGCCCCTTCTACGCCATTGTTACCGCTGCTGAACATGCTTGGCAGTGTCACTACGTGCCCCGCCGCGGTGGTCTAGTGGCTAAGGTACTCGGATGCTGACCCGCAGGTCGCGGGATCGAATCTCAGCTGCGGCGGCTGCATTTCCGATGGAGGCGGAAATGTTGTAGGCCCGTGTGCTCAGATTTTGGCGCACGTTAAAGAACCCCAGGTGGTCGAAATTTACGGAGCCCTTCACTACGGCATCTCTCATAATCAGACGGTGGTTTTGGGACGTTAAACCCCCCATATCAATCAATACCGATCAGTGTCAGTATACGTCTCCTTTTGTGCCCAGTGAATGGCCGCTTCATTACAGAGCATAGTGACCACACTGTTTTGTCATTTGTAAGCATAGTAACTGTGCTTTTGCTTTTGGCGTTTACGAAACAAAAGTTTTTTCCTGGATCAAAAGAGAAACTATATTTTTCATGTTTCTTTCAATCCATATGCTTTATTCTTCGCAGAGAGCATACATTCGTACTGTTATCATTCCTCCTCTCCTCTTGTTTTCATGTTAGAGACAGAAGCGTCAACGAAAGTATCAACGGGCTTTTGTATTTTGACAGTGACATCTGTTAGAGCATTGTGAGCCTTTGATAACCGAAAAAAAGGGAGCTCTTCCGAAGGAAATAGCTGGTTCTTTGTCTGAGGCACCGTACAACTATTGGCACTTTTACGCCCCCACGAAGACCTATTGTGCTATCTAAAAGTGCACCCATATTCGATTACACGTTAGAGCTAAACTACGCTTCTTGAGCTTTGTAGCGATGATATTGTTCTTACTGAAGCACAAAAAGTCCATTTTTTTTCAACATGCGAATTGGAAATCCTCAAAGCAATTTAGAAAATGGAGCACTAACCATGAGCACTTAACATGCTCTTCTTTTCCTAAAGTTTAACACTTCATATAAAGCAAAAAATATCTAACCACGCCAACAAGCCAAGTTAGGACTAATGTGCTGCAACCTTTGGCGTCCGAAATTTCTCTGAGCAAGATAAAAACATTCTGTTGTGTATTTTCTATTCCCAAAAAAGGTTGTGTATTTCTTATTACCAGTGAAGTACACTTGGCATTAGCAGAAATTTTCACATGTGCTCCTCGTGAAGTACTTGAATGTAGCCTTTGTTAAGTAGTTTTACCGTAAGTTCAGTCTTCAGCAAGCTTATCCCGAAAGCTCTGCATGGTGTCTTGAAACGGTTTAATTGACGTCATTGCCGCGTAGCTTCGGCTTCTGTTGCCGAAATTTTAACCATGCATGTCGACGTATTATCCAAGGATACCCAGGTATTATCTCGGCAACAGCGCCTAGAGCTTCGCGGCCGGCTGGCATAAGTCAAACTATTCAAGGTCATGCTGCGGAGCGTTCGAGTTAAGCTTGCTGAAGACTGCATTCTGTGTACAACACTACTTCTGTACTCCTTGGGAAGTAGTACTAATATGATCCTTACGCTGTGCGTGCATCTTGTGCATTACTGCTTACGGGCACTTTGCCATGTAGTTTGTATCGAAATTTTCGCCGTAACTGGTTTCCAACAAGCAGAGGTGTTCTGATGGTTCCCGGTGCCCTAAGGCAAAGTGCGATAAAGAATCTTCCACCTGAAAAAAAGTAATTCAGTGTTGTGTACTCTTTAAAAGCTGCACTTGGCACTTCACAAAATCGTCGTCGTCTCTTGGTGCTCAAGACAACAGAAAGGAGCAAGGTGATCTAGTTTCCAGTTCCAGCGTTGCAGACACTATAGTTGCTGCGCAAAAAACAATAATAAAGAAAAAGGTCAAGTGACCTTTGACATAGAATTGCGTTTCAATAAAAGAAGGCGGCAAAATGAGAGGTGGTTTTGCAGAGCAACCTACCTTATTTTCTATTTCGTGAAAAAAAAAATTCGGCAAGGCACCACTATTTAGTCTGAAAGAGTTACTAGATCCGAGACGTCCAGGTCTCTGAAGTACTTCGTCGAACAGAAAAAATTACGTTTCCCAGCTTTTAGCTGGTAAGAAATCATGGCGCTTTGTCTCTACCACGTTTCTTATTGTGATCGAAATTTGAGCGAGATTAGATTGAGTTTCTCTCGCCGGAATGAACGGTATAAATGCAGCTGAGTGCACTTGGTGATTAAAGTGTACGGTTTCCCTCTCGACGCCGATTTTTCCTTCATCTTCCTCTTAGGCGATCTTAGAGAAACGTTTTCTTTGTGCGTACCGGACACTTAACTCTGGTTGAAAGTTTGGCACCAACTCGCAGAGAAACCTCGAGTTCTGTATCGCTAAATTAACCTTGCCTCTTTTTACTCGCTTTACCGATAATATTTCGTCTG